GGTCATCCCGGTTCCGCCGCGCTCGGGCTATTGTCACGGCGGTCTCACGTGTCAGAGAGATGTTCAGAGCCGTCTCTTTCATGCCGGGCAGCTGCCTCGATTCCGAGATAAACGGCAAAATCGCGCGTGTCGGTGCGCGGAGCGGGGGAGGCTGCAGCGCCGGGGTGAAGCCCTCTCAGTTTTCAGGGAAGATTTCCCACATGGTCTCATCTACCAATCACAACAGAAAGGACCAAATTCATCCTGGCTGCATTTCACATATGCTCCATGGAGTTATAGAATTCAGGGATAAATCTGGCCCTTTGTGGTGGATGCCTAAGGATATTTCAAGAGAGATCCCAGAGGTATGACTGTTAGCGGTGTTTTGAGTAACTGTATTTTGCAGCATCTGGCAAACCTGCCCGATAGATCGGAAGTTTGTGCCAGGAGTCAACTTTTTTTCAGCGGGAAGAGTCCAGATGTGTAGGAGCCTGTATGTGTGCATTAATTTTTTGTAAGTGCTCTGAGTAATCAGGAGGCTACTGCTACCTTTGCTCTGTGGTTATTTTCTCTATTGTCTGTTTTTGTAAATTGAAACCATAAAGTGTTGCCAAGTGAGAGGCTTGGGCTAATATTAACGACATAAGTACCAAAGTGTCTGAAGACCTATTTGGCAATGAAACTGGACAAACGTTATTAAACCTATCAGTGATTTAAAGCTTCAAAAAGAAGGTAATGACTTGAATACACATTTCACTCATCATTCTTGAGATAGTGGACCAGATTTAATTTAAAAGTTAAATGCTTTGGAAAATCAGGAATTACTTTAATATATTAAATCATTTTCCAATTAAGTTCCTTAAATCATTTTTGGTGGGTTGCACTGCAAATCGAATAAATTAATTTAGAAAGTCGTTTTCAGAATTTCTTTACTAGCTAGTTAAAGCTTCTTTTAAGTCATGCCATGTATGAGGGAGCAAACTGTTCTTTTTAAATGCAAATGAGACGCTCATTCTGTAGACAAGTTGCAACTCTTCTATTTCACTTTGCCTGAACTGATAATGTGCTTAAAAGTGCACAGTCATAAGACATATGTTTTATGCTTGGAAAAGACTTAGTAGGAATGTTTCACTAGAAGATAGTATAGGACAAATGTCTTTTTCAGATTCCTTTGCCACTGACCATTGATTACATTAAAGGGCCAGAGTAGGTTTGCCAGGCCCCTTGGAGACGTACATTTACTGAACATTTCATTTTTCACCCCCTTCACTCTCTCCCTTTGCCCAGCATGATTAACATTGCTGTGAAAACTTATCTGACTTGTTCTAAACATGTCATCATGTTACAGTATTGCTCTGTCATTCATTTTCGTGCTGTGTGTATTTAGGGAGTTTGAAGGGCAGGAGGCCTGCAGAATTTTGTGTTCAGTAAGTTTGGTTGAGTGTTTCCTCCCGATCTCTCCCCGGGAAAGGAGATGATCGCTGGAGTGTGATGGATCCGTGTTCTGGGTCGGAATGGTGGTCTTGATTAGGTCTTTACCTGCAAAACTCATTCAGAACTGGATCTTATTTCTTGTAAAGTTAGTTAAAACTTGCTTTGGACACTTACTAGTGGATTTGGCCCTTGTTTTCATACCTGGGTTTGGGGGTTTGTTGTTTTTTTTTTTTTGACATATATGGAAGAATTTGATTCTTTGCGTTTAAAATCTGCTTGAACTGCTGGTAATTTGGAGTGTATTCCACAGATACTTAGTCTTTTAAGTTTTCTAATTGTTCCTTTAGCACTAGTTTTTTTCCTGATCGGATGATTGTTCGTAGCGTATGAATGAGTTCCCAGGCACATGCACGGGAGGTATTGACAGGGCGTTTTTCTGTAGCCAAAGAAAAATGCAATAATGTAGATTCAAACAGTCGCCTCTTATCTTACAATTTTCAGTTGGCAGGCTTTGTTTCAGAAGACTGCTTAGATCTTTATTTTAGAAACCTAAAATAGCATTCTAAGCATCTTAGTTTAATATTTTTCTATCTGCTGTGAAAGCTTATTATACTCTGCATATATTGTTGTGCAGGCTTTTCCTTCTTTCTCTTGCATTACCCACGGAGAGAGAAAAGTGAAAGAACAATGCAAACAATGTTGGTTATGACAACTGTGTGAGGTATCTCTTATACAAACAGACAGAATGGACGTTATGCTGCGGTATATAGGTCAGCCTTTGAAATAACATAGTGGAGCTCTTACGCTGGACAGACAGATTTAGAGTTGGGGTTGTACTGTCCGCCTCTTAAAACTTGAAATATAATTGCATTTCAGACATTTACAGCCTAATACACGTAGTCTGTTCAGTTGAAGTTTATTTTAAGAAACATCATGTTCCTTAATTGAGTTGAATGCTACAAAAGAAATAACTTCGATAATCCGAGTGTCTTAGTTTGACAGAAGAATAGGGTCAGGGACTTCAAACTGCTTGAAGAAGTCAGATCATAAGTTTAAATGTTTATGTAGAGAGCAGTAAGTAACATCCTTTTGGCTTTCCGTATTGAAGTGTCACCTCCAAAGACCCTTTTGATCAGTGCTGTAAGAAGGATTGGTATATTTTCATACTTGCAACTTTACAGTGTTTTCAGATATCTGCTCGCATAAAGTGCAGTTATATAATTATAGTTTGACACAGCTAATGACAGGGACGCTGACCCCTGCCAACAGTAGGGAGGAAATAATGGTCTTTACTGCTCCCAATGGTTAGCCTTGCAGAATTATACACTGGATTCTTCTGTGATTTGCTACCTGGTTCAAAAATACAGGAGCCTACAACTCATCTTTCTTGTATTCACTGGTAGTTGTCAGTGCAGTGGAAAAATACAGCCAGACAGCAGAAGTAGAATGATAGACTGTAGTTGTTTTTGAAAAGAGGAACACAGAGGGAAAAAAGAGAGAGAGGGAAGCAAAACCTTTAAAATGAAAACAGCGGCATGACGTTGGGTAGAAGAGGATAAGGAGATATAATGCAGTGCTTTGTGAGCAGGTAACAATCCTGCTCGTAATCAGAATTCCACGGAGCAAAAGTGCATATATTTATATGCAGTGTTTAAAATAATTTATTGTGTAAGCTTAACCCCACCATAGAGACTACTCTAAGTAAAATGTTCCATGGCTGTTTACAAAGTGTACATTATTTCCAGTGGGTTGCTTCTATCCACTCTCTATCTGAAACTCAGAAACAGAATTGTGGAAGGCCAGCACTGTGAAGGACAGCTCTAAAGCTCAAATGCTGTGTTAGTGTTTTGGCAGAACTGTAGATTACACTCATCTAATAGATCACCATTTGCTTATTCTGGGCATTTTTTTTTTTTCCCTTAGACAACTGCCTTGTCCTCTACTGCATTAGAATCATACTTGAAATTTGTTGGTGCCTCTTAAAGAAAAGATTAAATAGTTACATTGGCCTTGTTGATTTTTAAGTGTTTCAGTTAGTTTCAAAAAATACCTCATAGGAAGAAGGGAAATGGACTTTTTTTTCCTGGGTTCCTAGACCTTAGAATGTAGTTTGAGAGATATAGGCAAGCCTCAAGTGTGCCTCCTTAAGTTCCAATGTTTCAGAAAAGAAGTGATCCCAATTTTAGTGGAATACAGAAAATGATTTATGTACGTGCTTTTGAGAAATCTGTCTCAAAGACATTCTACAAACCAAATCGTTCACAGTCATTCTTTTTTTTTCTTTTCTTTTTTTTTTTTTT